AGAGATGGGAGCGATCTAACAGGCTGAGTTTAAACCTTATGAGGTTGACGATGGCGGAAAGTATTAAGCCATCAATGCCTAAGACAGAGAAAGCAAGGGAATTCATAGAAAAAATTAAGGAGTGTTCACAATCGGAATTGGCTGACAAGTCGATTGTAGGAAGTCTCATGAATGAGCTAACTACAAAGAAGTTTGACTGGTCTCAGCCAATCCATGATCATGTGACACACATGTCTAATCTGGCAGCAAAGTTAACGACCTTGGGAATGGAAGTTCATGAGCAGTTTTTGGTCCAATTCATCATGAACTCTCTACCTCTTGAATTTAGTCAGTTCCAGGTGAATTACAACACCATTAAGGATAAATGGAACTTTAAGGAATTAAAGGCTATGCTGATTCAAGAGGAGGGGAGATTAAGGAAGATGAAAGATCAAGTTGCTAACCTCGTAGGTCTTGGAAGTGCCAGTAGCAGCAAAAGAACATCAAGTAGGAAGGACAAAAGGAATGTTAAGAACTTCGTGAAAGGACCTGAAAGTCAAATCCAGAAGGAAAAGAAGTGTTTCTTTTGTAAGAAATTAGGACACTTCAAGAAAGATTGTCCTAAAAGGAAGGGTTGGTTCGACAAGAAAGGTAAACATCACAGCTTTGTTTGCTATGAAATGAATCTTGTTGAAGTTCCTAATAATACTTGGTGGTTAGATTCTGGTGCTACTACTCATGTGTCTCATATTAAACAGGGATTCAGTTCGATCCAACCCATAAGAGGACCTGAACAATACTTGTTCATGGGAAACAGGATGAAGGCGCGAATAGAAGGTATTGGGACGTATAGATTGATCTTGGACACTGGAAGTCATGTGGATCTTGAAGGATGTCTCTATGTACCTGAGTGTGCTAGAAATCTTGTTTCTGTTAGTAGGTTGGACAATTTAGGTTTTAGTATTAAGGTTGCACATGGTGTTTTCACATTGTACCNTGTGGATCTTGAAGGATGTCTCTATGTACCTGAGTGTGCTAGAAATCTTGTTTCTGTTAGTAGGTTGGACAATTTAGGTTTTAGTATTAAGGTTGCACATGGTGTTTTCACATTGTACCGAAATGATTACTTTTATGGTAGTGGTATTTTATATGATTCACTTTATAAGTTCAACCTTGATGCAAAGTTTTCTGAATCCTTATTTAATGTTGAAAGTAGAGGCATTAAGCGTAGTGCAACTAATGAAAATTCTGCTTTCTTGTGGCATCAACGACTAGGTCATATTTCTAAAGAAAGAATTATGAGGTTAATAAAGAATGAAATTCTGCCTCAGCTAGATTTCAGTGACCTAAATGTATGCATAGACTGCATTAAGGGAAAGCAGACTAAACATACATTAAAGAAACCAGCCACAAGAAGCACTCAGCTTCTTGAGTTAATACACACCGACATTTGTGGCCCTTTCGATGCTCCTTCATGGAGTGGCGAAAAATATTTCATCACATTTATTGATGATTACTCACGGTATGGATATACATATCTACTGCATGAAAAGTCTAAAACTGTGAATGTCCTAGAGGTATTCATTGATGAGGTCGAAAGGCAGTTAGATAGAAAAGTTAAAGTAGTGAGATCTGATAGAGGTGGTGAATTTTATGGAAAATTCGATGAAAGTGGTCAATGTCCTGGTCCATTTGCAAAGCTACTTGAAAGTAGGGGCATTTGTGCACAGTACACTATGCCTGGTACTCCTCAGCAGAATGGTGTAGCTGAGAGGCGGAACCGTACTTTAATAGAGATGGTTAGGAGCATGCTAAGTAATTGCTCTTTACCCCTTTCCTTGTGGATATATGCATTAAAGACTGCAACGTATGTGCTGAACCGGGTTCCTAGTAAGGCAGTTCTTAAGACTCCTTATGAAATGTGGACAGGAAGAAAACCCAGTTTAAGGCATCTACGTGTATGGGGTTGCCCAACAGAAGTAAGGCTATATAATCCACATGAAAAGAAACTTGATTCGAGGACTGTCAGTGGATTTTTCATTGGCTATCCTGAAAAATCAAAGGGGTACACATTTTATTGCCCTAACCATAGTACGAGAATAGTTGATTCGGGCAATGCTAGATTCATTGAAAACGGTGAAACTAGTGGGAGTGGTGAAACAAGAAAGGTGAACATTAATGAAGTTCAGGTTGAAGTTTCTTCACCTGTAGTTCCACCTGAGGTAGTTGTTCCTATTGTTTCATCAGAGTTTAATGACACAATAGTACAACATAATAATGTGCCACTCCCATTAACTGAAGATACTGTCGATGAACATGTCATAATTCAAGAAGAGAATAGTGAACCACAAATACCTTTAAGGAGATCTGGAAGAGAAAGAAGATCTGCTATTCCAAATGATTATGTGGTTTACACTATTGAAAATGAATGTGACTTAAGCATGGATGATGATCCGATCTCATTCAAAATGGCCATGGAAAGTGACAATTCTGAAGAGTGGTTTGATGCCTCAAAAGAAGAGATGAAATCT